CTCACTTCCTGTACCCATTACAATATGTCTTTAGAACTGGAAATAAGTGCAAATGAGTAGAAATCTCTTCAACAGAACTTCTGGCCTTTCTCCACTAGCTTCAACTGGCTTTCACCAGGCAGATAATAAAGCCAATCAGTGTACTAATAATTTAATGAAGGAAACATTTGATGAAGTAAGCAGTTCTGCATAGCCTGTGTTTATAGAAAAACAATGTGGTCAGATTTAGCAAGCTTTCCATAGCGATTGTGGGTGGATTCCTTCCTCTTGTAATTTGACTCTGTGTTTTGCAACCTCTTTCTTGTATTATTATTATTATTATTATATTATAAAATATGATTTGTATAGTGCCAACAGTATGTGCAGTTCTTTACAACATATGGGGAGGCAATACAATTACAATGCAATACCATACAAAAGGATTAGAAGGGCCCTGCTCATGAGAGTTTACATTCTACACGGAAAGCTCTATTGGCTTCTGTGGGCCCAGAGAAAGTGCTTTGCTTAAACCCAAAGGGGATATATTTTTAAAAATGGCTGAATTTGGGACTCTTGCTATCCAAGAACATTGAATGAGAGAATCCCTTGAAAAGAAGACCCTTAATATTTACCTCTCCATTGTGTTCAAAGTCTGATCTTCACTCTTTTCTAGAGCTGCAACTGCCAAAGATTCTTCAGCTTCTGGGTGAGTTGGATGCTGGGTCCATCCACTAGTTCCTATGTCAATAATGTGTCTTGCAGTGATGTAGGGGGATGTGAAGGAAACTACAGGCATGGTGAGGGACACAAGCATACATGCATCCAGAAGTGTTGGATGCTGAGGAACCTGTAGCTTTTGAAGAGCATGAAGATTAGACTTATCATCCAATGGGGCCGTAGGTATTAAGCATCCTATTTTGTTAGAAGAGTCTTGTTTATTTATTGTTGGCTAGCGACAGAGTCAGATTAAGGACAATATATTCTCCTTATGTAGAGAGAATAGAAACAAGGGTCAGTCCATTATTTGGTTAATTACCTATTGTATGGTTTATGCCCCAAATATACATTGAATTTTGGCCGCTTCCTGCGAAAATTTGATCCATGGATGGCCTCCGGCACCACCCGGCCTGACAAGCTTCGATCAAAAAAAAAGAGCTGGGCAGAAAATTGCCTGCTGAACAGTGACTGCATTCAGTCAACTGCAGCCACTGTTCTGGCATTCTGACAGCCATGAGTGCTGGCTGTCAGAATACAATAGCTGGCAAGGAAAATCAATTTATCAATGCTGTTAAGTGGGGATGGATATTTGAAGTGATTTTTATCTCGTCTTGACTATTGCAACTCCCTTCTCATTGGACTTCCACTACACAGGCCCCTTCAGTCTATCAGTCTATCATTAATGCAGCTGCCAGACTCATTCACCTAACCAAGTGTTCAGGGTCTGCAACCCCCCTCTGTCAATCCCTACACTGGCTTCCATTCGCCCAAAGGATAAAATTCAAAATATTAACAATCACTTACAAAGCCATCCACCACTCTGCCCCCAGCTATATCTCAAACCTTGTCTCAAAGTATCACCCTAAGCGTCCGCTCCGCTCTTCCCAAGACCTCCTGCTTTCTAACTCCCTTGTCAACTCCTCCCATGCTCGCCTCCAGGACTTCTGTAGAGTCTCTCCCATCGTCTGGAACTCTTTACCCCAACCTGTCCATCTTTCACTCACCTTGATTGCCTTTAGGCATTCCCTAAAGACTCATCTCTTCAGGGAAGCCTATCCCACCTCAACCTAACTGCTCAAACATCATGTTCTCAAACAATTCATCCCCACACAGCTCCCTCCTCATGTATCACTTGCCCCTCCCTTTTAGATTGTAAGCCCTCATGAGCAGGGCCCTCCTTACCATCTTGTCTTGAATTGTATTGTGATTGTAATGTCTTCCTTATTTTGTGAAGAGCTGCGCAAACTGTTGGCGGTATATAAATCCTGTATCATAATAATAATAATAATTTTTCTCCTTCAGCCAAGGCTAGGTTTAGTATATATCTTCTGGATCCAGACAAAAAGAATTTCCAAGTGTATTTCCACTTCCTCAGCCAGTTTGTGGAATGTGAATAGTAAATTGGGGCGCCAGTCACTTTAAGTGGTTTTCAATGCTTTATTATAGAACAGCCAAAACTGGGAGATCGGGTATAGGGCTACAGACATCCAAGACACAAATAGACTCCAGACTCACCAATCCCTTCCAGCTTCTTCAGTGCAGGAATACATTAGTAGAGCAGAGGATGACACTGTGTAGAAGAGCAACAGCTGGATATAGGATTGACTTGAGATCTTCCCTTGGAGAGACACCAGACTTGTTCCTGAGGTCCATGCCATCCTGGCCTTCCTGGCACCACCATTAGTCATAGGGCTTCTCTGGTTCTACTTCCCAGATAGTCCCAGACCCCTCCTGGGTCCACATCTGGCCTCCTCCAGGCTTGAGGGCTAGTCAGCTTCTCCAACCTTGTACATCCCACCCCCAGGCTAAGCTCACGGGCGGACTGCTCTGAGGACATGGCAATGCCTGAGGATTGATGCACTTCTCCAGCATGCACCACTGCCCATAAAACTCTTACAGAGTTATTCACAAAGCTGCCGAAGGCAGCCGAGTGAATAACCGAGATGAAGTGAACAGAGCCGAGCGACGTTCGGCTATTCACTCTGGCTCCCTTCGGTCAGCCGAACATACTCTGCATGTTCGGCTAAGCCAAAGTGCAGAGGGACTTCGACTCACTAGCTGCCGTTCGCCCCTATTCTCATAGGGGACGAACGACAGTGAGTTTATAGCTGAATGCCGCCGAGCGGCATTCGACTTGGCTATTCTGCTCGGTACCTTTCGAGGTACTAAGCAAAATATAAAATCAGTGAAAAGAGGGGATCAAAAAATAATGACAAAATATTTTAAAAATGTAAACAAATAGTAAAATTTTGAAATAAATACAGATATTTTAAAAAAGAATAAAAAAGAAAAACAATTGGGTGGAGCTAGCCTTGATAGCTAGCTCCGCCCAACTGTTTCCTATTGGCCGGCACCTGCTGGAGTCTTCTATCAGGTCCCGGCCAATGAATAACAACTGGCCGGAGCCAGCCATGACGTCACGGCCGGCTCCGCCCAGTTGTCCCCAGGTCATTTGGGGATGCTGACAGTACAACTGGGCGGAGTCAGCCGTGAAATCACGGCTGGCTCCATCCAGCTATCATTTGCGGGGCTAGTGGCCGACCTTCGGCAGGTCGAGCCGAAGCATATGCCTGCGGCTCGGCTGAGCCGCTCGGCCGCCTTCAGCTACTGTACGGGCTATTGTAACCCCCTTAGCGACTGCCTGGTGAGGCATAGACACTCCTAATGTTCCCCTATTGGCTGTCCCACTCTGTGTCAGGGCCACACCCCACTAAAGGTAGGTGCAGACAATAGCAGAACACCTAGGAATGACCAAAATGATCACAGACTACAAACCAGCCAGACTGATTACGGTGCCAGCAACACTAAAATTAAAAAAGCCACTCCACATAGGGTGGAAGGGGCTACACTTACATGCATACATTTTCTTTTCCATAAACGCCATAGCCCTCTTAGAATAGTGTCTATTTACTGCTTGTACTGGCCCAGCTACTTCACTTATCCCCTCACCTCCCTACATAACCTACTCTACTTTACTCTATCTAATAGATTGTAAGCTCTGGATTGTATTATAACTGTACTGTCTCCCTCCATTTTGCAAAGCATTGGCCAAACTGTGGGCACTTTATAAATCCTGAATAATAATAATAATAAATATCCTAAAAGGTTTTGGTCAGAAGATATTCAGAATTAATGATGTGCATGTGACAGAGGTAAAAAAAGAAGCTAGTAATGTAGGCGGAGGTTTAAAATGTTCATTTCCAGCCCTATATCTACAAGTCGTGTGATCTATCTAATCATTGCTTATGATAATCAGGCAGTGTATAGACCAAAGATTAAAATATTAAGAACACTTGTTAGCACTTATATGTTTAACTGAACTGACTTTACATATAAGCTAAGTTGGTCCTGAATGTTACAAATGGTTGGCAGCTAGTGTGCATGCACAATCTGACTCTCATATGGTCTTTCTGCAGGCTTTCAGTTTGGAATCGGGTGAAACTGCAGGTGTGTACATGAGGAGGGAGTGAGGTGCACTGCAGGTGTCAGCCTGGCTTGGGGTAAACAATAATGGGCAATCTGGAAAAATCCATCCCAGTCGATCAACTTTTCTGCAAGCAGGTTCTGCCAGGGAGCATACGTCAGGGTTGTGCAGATGCCTACAGCAATACAAATGTTCCCCAAACTGAATGTAAGGAGAGTCATCATTTTCTAATATCCATTAGATCTAACTTGATGTGTAAATGACATCTATCATGGGGCTGAACTTAAAAAAAAACCTGTCAAAACAATCTTGACAGCTTTAAATAAATCAACAAAAGATTTCAATTTATTTACTGCACACGTTTCTTTTATTCTATAATATACATTTACTTTTATTAAAGTTGTTACAGGCAATTAGCAACTTCCTTCAGAGCGAGGATCGAGTATACACCTGTAATTCTCTCTACTAGCAGTCACGGTGAACTTTGGAAGGTCTTTAAAACTTTTTTTCAGTGTTTGGCTTGAACTGAAAGTGCTTTGGTTTGTTAATTGAGTTTGAAGTATTGTAGTTCTTCCTGGAGACATACACACAGTGACACACACCAGGGCTATCTGTTAAGCAATTTGTACCATTTGAATTCACCTAGTGGCTTCCACTTTGATTCTTGCACTTGAGTCCCTTTGAAATGCAAAGCTGTCTTTCAATGCAAATCATATGCCTACTGGCCCAATAAAAGGCTTTAGACAGGGAGGTGCCTATCAAAGTGATAGCTAGTCAGCTGCCAAGGAAGGTGAAGGGAACAGCAGTGAATCAGGAAGAAGTAGAGCAGAGTTGAAGAAAACTCCAGGAGAGAAGAGACAGCTGGCCAGGCAAACACATAATGGCGGTGGACCCACTGGGAAAAATCTATGTGAGCTATCTTTTGGATAAGGAGACCAATATGTACCCCAATCCTGTAAGGCACCCTGGACTGAACCTCAACCACCAAAACTATGTCCCAGGTCCTCCTCAGTATTCAGATTTTCCCGGCTATCCTCATGTTCCTGGAATTAACAGCGACCCGCATCATGGTCAGCCTGGGGGGACCTGGGGTTCCCCCTATGCACCAAGCAGAGAAGACTGGCACCCCTATCCACCAGGACCTGCTCCATCTTCAGCTAACCCAGGCCAGATTGGTTTCAGCCCTACAGACTTTAACCCTGTTCAGCCACCGGGCTCTGGACTTTTGCCACCTGCCATGAACAGCTCAATGCCCCCCTTGTCTCCTAATGCACAAAGGCGCAATCCTTATGACTGGATGAGGCGCAGTGGAGTACAAACCAGCAACACTGCTAATGGTGAGTAAAATACAATACTGTCATGGTAAAAAAAAAAGCAAACAATCGGGCTTATGTCCAATTTTATCTAAACAATACCAGTGATATTGCAAGCTTTCTAGCAATAGGTTTAAAGGTGCTTACCGTTTTTTAATGTAATATCTATTAATAAGGTTGTTGTATCTCATACTGTTATTACAGTGTATATTTTTTTACCTGAGCTGGATACAATAACAATCTGCCACCATGTGTGTCTTGCTGCAATTTCATAAATTCATTATATTAGCAAGGCAGTTATCATGTGCATTATGGCATAGGGGCTAGATTTCCTGATGCTGCTCATCATTATTTGGCGCATTTTCTGCATGGAGAAAATGTTTGAAAAAAGATTGTACTGCCATGTATAACTATTTTTTATTATTATTATTATGATTATTATTATTATCATCATCATAGATACCTATTTCTCTTACCATTGCGGTAATTGCATTCTTAAAAATATATTATATGAATTTGTCTAAATGAGTCTTAAACGTTGATCATGCGTTGTGCAGTCATGCTATCGTGATTGGCTGATTAGTTAGAGGGTCTCCATGGGATTTATCTGACTAATAAATATCAGGCAATAGACCATGAATTCAACAGACGCTGCTTCTTGGGATGTCACTTCCTAATACAGCCTATTTCACATTAACAGTTGCTTTATTATATCCACGGATTGAACTTTTCACACTGAACCCTTAAGATAATGTTTATGAATGGAAATCACCTATGATTGTCAAATTGTGGTCATAGTGTACTACACAAATATAGGTAATGTCACAAGGGCAATGCAGGAGCATGATTCCTGTTTGTACATACTCCAAGTTGATGTGGCTCGGCGGGAAGTAGACATATTAGTAGTTTCTTTTACAAAGTTGCTTTATGAGAAGTAATCATCTGTCATCACCTTACAGCAGGTCATACACACATAGATATGAATGTTGAGAAATGAATCACAGATATTACCGTGTTCACCCACCATTTGGTGCACGTTGAGGAATTAGCCAATTATTGCTTGTAATGCAGAGAACAATATAACATAGGGTAGAAAAATTCCTACAGCTATAAGGGCATGCAATGAGGGTATTGTTTTATTAAATACGAATGCTCAAAACAATGTGCAATACGATTTTTTGAATGATTGCTTATATGGTTCAAACTTTTCTCTTACCACTCTTGTTGTTACACTGAACATTCACTTTATACATCCTGGCTCAAGGGACTTTTTTTTTTTTATATTTCTGTCAAAATTCAGCCTTAAAAACTAGAAAGAAATAAAGATGTACTTGAGGAGCATGAATCATTTCATAAGCCATTTTGTTTGCTGGGGGACTACAACTCCCAGCAGACCCAGGCTGTTTTTGGCCTAGTAAAAACTAGATCAAGGTGTGACTAATCACACTTTACTATGTGCTGGGACATCTAGTGTTGCCAATATCTATTATACCCAAAAATTGCTTTATGCCCCATTCACACTGAGTGGATTGCCGCGCGATTTCCGCCACGATATCGCGCATTTTTGCAGCGCGATATCGCGAGAAGTCGCCGGCCAATGATTTTCAATGGAGCTGTCTTAATGTACAGCTCCATGTCGCCCGTCACTCGTTGCGGTCGCAAGTCATGCCTGCAGGACCCTTTTTTCGGCGGATGTCGCGCAATTTTTCTATTTTTTAATGCAGCCCGGCGGTTAAGGCCGCACTACCGTCGCTGGAACGTCGCCCGAAAGTCGTGCTATCCCGCGCGGATCCGCTCCTAAAGGTATGTCGCTCAGTGTGAATGGGGCCTAACTTGGTTAACATCAGAAATATTTAGCAGCAAAGGTTTAAAGGGAACCTGTCACAAACGAGCACGTCCTAAATTGGGTACAATAACAATTTGCCACCAACTGTGTCAATGGCTGGATTAATGTTACAATGTAAAACAAAATTTGTTCTAGGCTAAGCCATGGTGAATCATTATAAGTTCTGAGAGCTCAATCTTTAATTTGTGTCTGTGAAAATTTCGACAAAACTGTCTGAGGTTTAAATGAGGGAGGAAGAACTATTTATTTTCCACTGCTGACTAATTAGCAATGACAGATTAGATTTAAAAAAAAAAATAGCACATTTTGCAGTGTCTCACTCTGGACAGAGTGCCTCACATTGGACAAGTTTGCTTTAATCCACATAAAAGCTAATATCCTGTGATGTATGAGATAAAAAAAAAACTTTTACAATACCTAGGAAAAAGAAGAATAGATCTCAGCAGTTTAAATGCTTTTATTTTTATCATATCTTGTTATTTTTAACTCTTGCTCAATTCTTTAACATATTTTTCCAAGGTGTCTGTTCTGTCAGCAAATATGAACTTCAGCCCCAGTTTATAATGTTGTGCCTTACACATGCTCCATCTTTATTTACATTTTGTATGCGTACACACAGATGCACATTCTATATCATGTCGACAGTCAAAATACAAAACCAGCGGCAATAGTAAAAACATAGTGGGCAGCATTTTAAAATAATTATAAGGGACGCTGTTGCTAAAGTAATGACCAAAGATAACTCCCATAGCAGCAGATGTATTTGTTTGGGGTAAAAATATTTTATTTTCAAATTTTAAATATTTGACTTCATATATATATATATATTACTTCCGTTATGATCTTTAAGACTGTAAGGTATCATTAAAACAACAGA